AAATGTGCAGAACATAATCTGTTTGTTCTTCTTTTCTTTCTTTAAGGGGATAAACAACCAAACTAATTTGATTTTTCCAGATTTGCAAATTTTATAATGGATTAAAATCCTGAGGGAGCTAACAACAGATGGATGACTGTGTTATTCCAATTTCAGCTACCTTAGGCTTTAGAAAGCTGTCATTTTTTAAAAAGACAATCAATTTCTTATTTCAAGAAACATGAAAAAACACTGACTGTATCTATCCAACATTTGCTTTGAAACATCTTTTATATCAAAGCATGGCTTTTGTTTATTTAAAGTAAATAGAGAGAAACTTTATAATAGCAAATCATTATTCCACCACCCAAAAGATAAAGGATGAGGATACCTAAGCCCTTAGGGGGAAAACAATATTAGCAACGAGCTCAACATATCACAATAATAAATATTAAACAATCAATCAATAGGAGCTGGATTATTTTCTTCTGTACTCTTAACACTTCTGTGAGTAGCTGTGCAGCTAGAGCCGTTAAGGAATTTAAATTCACATTTAAGGTTTATCTGCTCAGCTAATATGTTCAACACAGTCAACCTCTGAGATCTCACGTGGCATAATTTAGAAATGTAACAGAGAGTAGTAAATACATGCAAGCTGAGCAACGGTCTTGAGGGTTTAAGTAATACAAACACCTAATTTTAATTTTATATTATCTACAGAAAGTATGACCCATTAGAACAATATATCAAAGAGAATTGTAGAATCTGACGATTATTATACTTAAGACTAAAGAGATACCTACTGTAGCCTGTACCTCTCTGTGCTTGCCCTTCTTATTCATTTACTCTCTATCTTACATACTTGATCATGAAGCCCTGTAATTTTTTCACATACATTTTCAGGCTCACTAATAGATTTATAATTTTCTTCACAAATGTTTTTCTTCTATGTTTTCTTCACAATCTCTCTGCTTTCTTCCCTCTGTGCCTCAGTTTCTTCATTTTAGATTATGGCTACTTCAGAGAGTGATTAGAATTGCATGATATAATGCACACCAAGTGCCTCAGCACACTGCCTGACTCACAGGAGGTGCTCCACACATTTCCATCCTTTCATCACCTCCTTTCATTTTGTTTATTGCTGCTTTGCATTTTCTTCTTATGGCTTTGTTTTCATTTTCTTATGTTCTTATTCCTTATCTATATTTGCATTAGATGTCATTATGTGTAAATATTTAGGTATATGATCATATGTATATTTATAAAAATCAAAATATTTAGAATTCCTTTAGAAATATATTTGTGACAACAGAGATGCTTGTATAACAGCATGCATGGCTAATTAAATAAACTCACATCAAATGCTGTATTAAAAATACAAAGAAGTTTCAGATCTAGGGGAATAATTTAAGTTTATCATATAAAATATAAATGCCAAAAAGACAGTTTAAAGCAAATGCAATAAATGCACAGAGGGTAAGTTCCGCTTAGAAGTCAGAAGGAAGTGTCATTTTAGCCAAAACTTTATGGTTGAGCTAGACATTATCACGTGGGTGTCATGGGCAGGAAAAGCTCCATCCAGAACCAACAGCAGGAGCAAAGGTTTCATGAGTTGAATGCCCAGGACATGTTTGGGAAGTGATAGAGAATAAGGCTAGAAAGATAAGCTGAGCCAGGGTAGAAGCATATATAATATTTTTTTTTTCTATTTCTTTATATGAAGTTATGATTTACACAGTATCTATCTTGAATAAGTAGGACTTATTTCTATCATTGTTTCTTCAGTAAATAGCAAAAATCACGTCATCATTCCAGGAAAGTGGGGAAGTTCCTCTTCATCATGTACTACCACGAATCAATGTAACCTCTGTGCTTTCTTCATTCACTCTTTGTTCACTGCCCCCGAAGCACTAGATATTACCTTTGGCACAGTTCAGTTCTGCACTCCAACTCATCCTTCATAATGTAACCAAATGAATCTTCCTTAGGTAAAATGAATCCAATAAACCCTCTGCTCAGAACTCTAAAGCTGTTTATTCTATTGTGATTGGGCAATCTACTTACGTAGTGATACCGCCTCAGAAACCCAAAGAGGCGTCTCTATGAGTCGGATCCAACTTGATGGCAATGAGTTTGGTTTTGTTTTTTGGGTATTAAGAATATACTCCTTAGCACAGTAATAGAGCCCTCCTTCTTTATTCCTTGATTCATTCATTCTTTTATTTGGCAAATAAGGAAGATTGGGCAATCTACTTCTGTAGTGATATTGCCTCGAAAATCCAAGAAGGGGTCGCTGTGAGTCAAGTCCAACTCGACAGCATATAACAACAACAACATTTTAGGTGCAGGGAATAGACTAACAGCACTATCCTATAGGAGCTTAACCACAGAAAGAAAGATGCAGCAATAAGCCAGAATATGAGAAAGAAGTGATGATGTGTTGTTTAGCTTTCTATTCTAAGCTAATGATTTGGTAATTTGTATTTCCAGCTCATACCTTTCCTCTAAATGCTAGATTCATATATCTAGGATCTACAAAGCATGTCTACTTAAATGTCTAACAAATATCCAAAGGACATGTGAAAGTGAGCCCCTCATCTACTCTCCCCACCTATTCTTTCCCTATTCTTCTACATTTCATTATATGGCAACTGCATCCTTCAGTGGTTCAGACCAATAGCTTAGATAGTCTTGATTCCTCTCCGTATTCAATCTATTACTCAGTTTCGTTGGCCCTATCTTCAAAATATACTTAGTATCCAAGAACGTCCACTGCTAACATCCACACTCAAGCCATCACCATCTTTCATCTGGGTCACTGCTTCAGCAGTTAGTCCTCCTTAGTCATTGTTTAACATGACAATTCTAGTGATCTTTTCAAAATGTAAATCAGAGTATATCACTCCTATGTTCCAAACTCCAAAATGACTTTCAAGACCTTATTTCACCATTTCCTCTCTGACTTTAACACGGACAATTATTCCCTCTCACTACTGATGGTGTAGTGCCTAAGGCATTTGACTGCTAACCTGAAGGCTGGCGGTTCAAACCTCCAGGCACTCCTTGGAAGGAAGGTTGGGCAATCTACTTCCGTAGAGACAGCACTTCAGAAACCCAAGGAGGGGCTGCTATGAGTTGAATAGACTTCACGGCAGTGAGTTTGGTTTTTTGCTTTGACTCTCCAAGCAATACTAATCTCCTTGCTGACCACTTACTGGAATTCTCTTCTCTTGTAAATAACCACATACCTTGGCTTTTTTCACCTGCTGGTCTTTGTTCAAAAAATCACCTTATCAATGAAACTTATACATCTACTATTTAATATTTCAACTCTTATCCCCAACTAGCATTCCCTAGCCACTTTTCTTGCTGTACATATCTAGTCATCCATTACCATACCATTTGAGATACTGAATCTTTATCTTATTTGTTTACTGTCTATGTTCTCACCAGGAGATAAGCTCTATAAGAGCAAGATTTTTTTCTTTTTTCCTTATTCTGCTCACTGCTATGTCCCAAAGCTTAGAAAAGTACTAGGAAATAGCAACTAATATACACTATTAAAAAAAATCAACCAAACTCATTGCCATCAAGTTGGCTCCGACTCATAGTGACCCCTCCTTGGGTTTCCGAGGCAGTATCACTATGGAAGTAGATTGCCCAACCTTTCTTTGAAGGAGTGGCTAGTGGGTTTGAACTGGCAGCCTTCTGGTTACCAGTCAAATGCCTTAGGCACTATGCCACCAGAGCTCCCAATATATACTATGGATGACAACAAATACATCTATTTGTTAAATAAGTGAATGAGTGTGGGAGGCAATGTAGATAATTTAGTGTTCATAAAAAATAAATTTAAGGCATGGATAGGAAAGCAATGATGCTAGCTAGAAATGAAGGAAGGAGCAAGAAAACATAAGAATTTGGATACCATGGTAAGAAGCTTAGGCTTTATATAGTGGTCAGTGGTGAGCTTCTAAGGAATAAGGGGATGACTAGGTCAGAACTGCATATCAAAGGTGACTCTGGCAGCAGTGTGAAGAATACTTTTGAAAAGGAACTAAGAAGCTATTGTAATACCTTAGGCAAGAGGTGACAGTGGCCTGAACCAATCAAATAAATAGTAAAGATGAATATATAGGATTTGGTGACTGGGAAGGAAATGTGGTGTAGAAGACCTACCCAAACACACAATGCTGAAGGAAAACATATAGCAATGAGGTAAGATGCATTGAGGTCATATTTGGACACTTTGAATTTGAGGTGCTCTGTGCAATGGGGGCAATGTTTACCTATTGTTGTTGTTAGCTGCCACTGAGTCAGTCCTCAACTTATGGTGACCTCATGTACAACAGAATGAAATACTGCCTGGTCCTGCATCATTCCCATGATTGGTGGTGGATCAGACCCTTGTGATGTATATGGTTTTCACAGGCTGATTACTGGAAGCAGATCACCAATCCTTTCTTCCTAGTTCACCTTAGTCCAGAAGCTCCCCTGAAACCCGTTCAGCTTCCTAGCAACACATAAGCCTCTGCTGACAGACAGGTGATGGCTGTGCAGCAGGCACTAGCCAGAAAAAAACCTGGGTCTCCTGCATGGAAGGTCAGAACTCTCCCAGTGAACCACTGATGCCATCTCATTGACCTATTAGGTGGCTGGGAATAGGAGAATGATGTTTATAATAGATACTTGGCGCAGATTTGGAAGTCATCAATATATGAGAATAGGTAAATCGGTATGAGCAGATGTGATCAATGGGGTTATTACATGAAATCAGAATAGTGGAGGACTTTTGACAGACAGGAAAAAAAAGAGAAGATAACAACAGCTTAAGAAGAAATCAGAGTTATGAGGAAAGCCAGGAATTTTCAGAGAGACTGAAGGATATCTCAAACACATGTGGCACCAAGTGAGAAATTTTAAGTAGAATAAACTTGTGTATATTTGTAATACAATTACACAATCTATGAAAAATTATCTAATTGTACATTGAGTATTTTTGAAAATTGATTAAAATGTACCTGCATATTCCACTGAAGGGAAGTAGCATTCAGATGAGGTTTCTGAAAGATGAAATACAAATTTTTCCAGTAATTCTACCAAAGCTGTAATAAATAGAATTAGGATATTAAAGGTCAAGAATAACATGTGGTATTACATTCCTACATCACACACCAGAAAACAAAAGTTAACTGAACTTCATCACAGTTCTATTCTAAGGGGGTCCCATTCAAAACACACAACATTTTGGTATTCATAAGATTTCAGATTTAAAGTAAATTTTAATAGCTTCACTGAGAACCTATGCAATGTAAAACTGGAAAAGAATCATCTGCTATCTTTAGATCCTCTGCGATTAGTTTTGAATTTTCTAAATGATTTAATTCAAAAAGAAAATTATCACTAATTAGGCTATAATATCTTATTATCAGTATTCACACATACAGAAAAAAAAGATGTGAACTCTATGACAAGGATCGAGGCACAGCTCATGTCCTTTTCAAAACCAGTACATATTATGTATTTTATACACTTTTACCTGATGTTATCAGTTCAAGGCAACCAGATCAAAAGTAAACTTGCCGTATCTGGCTTTGTTGTTGTTAGGTGCCATCGAGTTGGCTCTGACTCATAGCGACCCTATGTACAACAGAACAAAACACTGCCTGGTCCTGTGCCAGCCTCACAATCCTTGCTGTACCTGAGCCGATCATTGCAGTCACTGTGTCAAACCACCTTGTTGAGGGCCTTTCCCTTTTTCACAGGCTTAGAAGTGACAAAATTATTCTTTTCCAGGTTGGTGTGATAATGTCACATAGATAATACTACTGTCTTTGCACATATTATCCCAAGAATGGATATAACCAGTTGGATTATAATTAATATGCAACAAAGTAGGGTTTGTTTTTTTCCATTTGTTGTTTTCACTGAAAATGAGTATTGTATTTCTACACAAATAGCACACACATTATACATTTTTTGCATACCATGCAACCACCTGCGTGTTTTCATAAGTGCACTATCCCAATTTTTTTTAACATGTTGATGACTTCATTTCATTTTTTTTTTCTGTCCAACAAATTTAATGTTAAATCTTTATCTTGGTGCCTGACAAAGCAGAAGTTTGGTTCCTGGTAGCATACCCTCACCAGCCTACTCCCAGTATCTAAGCAGCCCCTCACCTGGCAGGATTCCTTTTCCACCCTACAAATTGCTTTCTCTGATGCAGAAAGAAATCCTTTTTGTGTGCTGAAACAGTCCTTGCCAAAATAGCCAGCTACAGCACAGGAAGTGCATGGGTCTGTGCACCTTGGGCCAGAGAGGCCACTCAGAAGCCAAGGCTGGCATGTTGCAGCCTCTGCATTTTGCCCCACCGCATAGCTGGTGGCCACCATGCTTTGGCCATTTGAATCTCCTATGCACACAAATGCAGGAGGGCTGGTGGGAGAGCTATGGATGCAGAGGGGTCACACGTTCCGCACTTGGACGAGTCTGACTGGCCACTTGAGCTTCCCACAAGGCTAGGGTAGTACAGACTCGTACCTGCATCATCCTGCTGCCCAGCTTCATGTGGAGGCAGCAATACAGGATGTGGGTGCATATGGGCAATGGCCCCTATCTGCCATGAGATCAGCCCATACTTGGACTGTTGCAGTCCTGTAGATTGGCTGCAAGGAACTCAACTGCTCTTCGCCCTGTCATGAACTGCCCCAGAGAAATGCAGTTTCAACTGTTTATTTTCCTGTTACTGGGGTACTACCAACTTGACGCATGAATTCTTGACCGTAGATTGTATCTTTACTATACAAATGTGATCAAAAGTAACATTTTTGGACTATAGAAGGAGGGTAATTGAGGTCAAAATTAACTTCCGACATGTCATGAGACATGCAAGAGGTATGCATGGGCATGCTATGCCAAAATTTTTTTCATATAATTTCACCATTTCCTCCCATTATAAGTGTGTGTGCATGTGTGTATGATTTATGTGGATACACTGTGAAATATTCAGTTTATCTGTAGAGTAATTGATAGGTTTATATGTTTTGTGAGTAAGTTTCAGTCAACTTGTAAAACTGTATCCTAATAATATCTAGGGCATTAACTATGATTTATATTAACTGAATCATTTGAGAGATAAAGCTGCAGTCATGGAACAATGCTAAAAATGAATCCATGTTTGGCAGTTGAACCCATGACTCCGATCTCATTAGCAAATCTCTCTAACTAACCAACTACAAGTATAGCTGAACTGCATAGTTACAGAGTGGCTGTTTATCTCAGTATGACCAACAGCCTCACTCACTGCCAACTGACTGAATATTCCATCATCTATAATTCAAGGCAATTAATTCATATCATGAAATAATTCTCAACATTTAAAATAAATTAACTCTAAATTACTACTATCCAGAAAGTAAACTACAGAAGATTGTTTTCTTTATGAAGGGAATGGCAAAGTACTAAAAGTGAGTGACCAATAATAACACTAAGGAAAAGGAAGACACAGAGGGGTACACAAGAAGTACACAGACAACAAAGATAAACCATTTTACACATACAATATTGTGTTATCAGTGATAACAAACACTAATCTATGGGTAAATAGATGGCTGGACAGGCTGAATGACAGGAGCTCAGATGGTGTAGTGCCTAAAGCACTTGACTGCAAACCAGAAGGCTGGCAGTCCAAACCCACCAGCCACTCCTCAGAAGGAAGATTGGGCAATCTATTTCCGCAGCGATACTGCCTTGGAAACCCAAGGAAGGGTTGGAATCAACTCGAAGGTAGTGAGTTTTTATATATAAGGTTGGCAGACAATATTTCTACATACGTATTTGTATGTGCTGTAACAATGTCCATATATACAATAGAGCTAACATGGGGCAAAGTTTATGGTAACTTCTTAGCCATAGCCAACCACACTGAGGAAGAGAGTAGCTGGACCTGTGGGCTCGGGACCATGGTTGCAGGGGACATCAAGCTGAATTGGCATAACATAACACACAATACTGTTTTACATCCCACTTTGGTGAGTAGTGACTGGGGTCTTACAAGCTTGCAAGCGGCCATCTAAATGTAACAATGGGTTGTCCAGAGCAAAGAAAAATGAAGAAAATACAAAGTACATGGAAACAAGTAGTCCAAGGGACTAGTGGACTGTGTGAACCTCAGCCTATATAACCACGAGACCAGAAGAGCTAGATGGTGCCTGGCTACCCCTGTCAACCACTTGGAAAGGGATCAGTGCAGGAGACCTTGGACAGAGTGGGAGAACAATGTGGAACAAAATTCAAAATCATATAAAAGATCCAGTTTACTGGTCTGATAGAGCCCGGCAAGACCCCTGAGACTGTGGCCCCTAGTTACCCTTCAGGTCTGGAATTAAACTCACTCCCGTGGCTTCCAGCCAAACAACAGATAGGCATATAGAGTGAACATTTAAATCAAGTAGATACATTCCTTAGAACCATCGATCATGGGAGAACAGAAGGGCAGTATTTGCACAGGAAGATAGCTCATGGGGCAGGAATGCATAGGAAAGAAGGACACAGGGAAGGATACTGCAGGGTGGTGGGGGGAAGAGAGCTGCTACACCATGGGAAACTGTAGTCAATGTCATGAAACAAAATGTGTATGAACTGCTGTACAGAAAATGAATTTGCTCTGTAAACTTTCACCCAAATCACAATAAAAATTTTTTTAAAAAGAGATAGTTTTGTCTAAAGTGAGATTTTTTATTTTAAAAGACAAGCCTTGAGTTTCTACAAAGGATTTTAAATTAGAGGGTTTTCTCTTCTTTAATCATACCTATTCCCTGGGATTGGTATATGACGTTAATAGGCTAGAAAACCAAAATTATTAACATTTACATACTAATACAGGGACATGAGTTTTCTGCTAGGAAGAAAAGTAAAAGGTGGTTTGTTTAGGAATACCTGGGCAGTGACTCTGCTTTCTACCTTGGCTTGCCATTTTAACAATAGCTGGTTCAAAAATTAGGAAGCTCAATGTTTATAAACATTGAAATTTCTCTTGTATTTACTTCTGTAATTCATTTTTTAATCTTTTATTAAAGCTAGTATATTATTCAATCACATGAAAATTACAGCAACAGAATTCAATTTCCCCCTATCAATCATCCTGATGTAACCACCAGCTAGCTCTTCCTTGAACACTTGCTTCTTCAAGAACTTATCATGATTTCCATTATGTGAAAGAAAGGAAAAAAGAACTTATCATGGTTTTCATCTCCCTAGCCTATGAAGTTAGAATTCCTCTAATGAGTTTTAAGCTCTTTACAATCTTAGGTCATTCAACCTTATCTACTCTTCATATAAATTATTATTAAGAATAGTCAGTCAAATTATTCTTCTCAATGTTCTCATGTAGTTCATAGTCATTGTTTTCTCTGTACCTTAACTACAGATTCTGAGGAAGCTGCAGGGATGGCGCAGAGGAAGAGAACTTCCTGTGGCTATTCTTTTAGGATACATCTGCTTCAGCAGTAGAATGCTTGCCTTCCAGGGGGGAATTCAGGGTTTGACTCCTGGACAACGCCTCTCATGCGCGGCCACCACCTACCTGTCAGTGGGGCCTGAGTGCTGCTGTGATACTGAACAGGTTTGAGCAGAACCTACAGACTAACAGACTAGGATGAACGGCCTGATGATCTACTTCAAAGACTCAGTCAGTGAAAACCCCATGGTCCACAGCTGATCATGGGGATGGCTCAGGACAAAGGCGCATTTTGTTCTGTTGGGCATGGGGTTCATGAGTTGGGAGCCTATTCAACCACAGCCAACAAGAAGTACCAGCAACATATTCTTTTAAATTTTTCTTCATCTGATAATGCCTTAATTTCTCCATCATGCCTGAAAAATATTATTGTCCGATGCAGATTTCAGGGTTGTTGGCTATTTTCTTTCAGCACTCGAGTAATGTCTTGTCACTTCCTTCTTTCCTCCATCTTTTCAGATGAGAAGTCCACCACCATTTGCATTGTCTTTGCCCTATAGATAAGGCCCTATTTCTTTCTTGCTGCTTTCAAGATTTTCTATGATTTTTTTTTAGTTTTTAGAAGTTTGAGTATATTGTATCTTA